GTGCCCAGGGGACTTCACCGCAACACTCATGGGTCCATGTTCAAGATTACTGACCGGAACCGTTGTTTGGGAAGGAGGTTGTTGCGCCTGGGCGAGAGGCGATGCGGTAGACGGTGGTGTTAGTTGTGACAGCATGGGGACATATTCTGCGGCAGCAGGATTGAGGGCTTGGCCCAACGGTGAGAGTCGTCTCGGGGCAAGCAGGGGTAGGCCACTCAGATTCTGCTCATCTCGAATTTCGCTCTTCTCAAGTTCGTCTAGAATTGCCGCCTTTGCGCTTGACACCTGTAGTTCAGTCCTGAGCTCCAGTTCTTCTTCTCTGTGTCTGAGCTTTAGCTCTTCTTCCTTCTTCCTGGCTTCAAACTGGAGCCTCTCTTCCTCCAACTTCCCCTTCTCTTGGAGTGCTCGGGTTCGGGCCAACAGCTCGGTCGTCTTCTGATGCTCCACTGCTCTGGCTATTGACAAGGTACTTGACATACGACTACCATAAGAATGGGATGTATGTGACCTCACTGACCTCGTAACGCATCTGTCTACCACACTGGTGTGATACACTAACCACTGATCCATCGTGGTCTTAAAGTCCTGAAGATTGGTGAGTTCAGACTGCAGCTCGGCATGCACTGTAGGCTTCTGCTCATCTGTGACTAGCGACAGATATTCACCATGGTGAATCAAATATGTTTCATATTCCTGAAGCCATCTTGAGTGCTCAACTCTGACTTTCTCGACATCTGGTGGAAGAGACAACAGCAAAGGCGGGATGCTGGGCACTTTCTCTCTGTCTCTCCATTGCCGACTTTACCTTGGCCCGTGTAGCCATGACTGTGGCCTTTGCTTCCTCGCCATTGAAGCTTTCCATCTTATGCTCGAATTCTCCACAATTAATATTGAAAACTGTCTATCAGAAACTGACTCCAGGTTTCTCTGTCAGCGTTGACTGTGACGTCAGTTAGAGCAAAACACTTGGTTTATTTCACTCTCCTTCTATACTGACATACAGCTGCTCTTTAATACCACTATACAGCTGCCTGTTGTCACTTCAACTATAATTAAAAACACACAAACATTGTTTAGTTATTACATGATAAACAACTTCACTTGTTACAATACAACAAACCCTAGAAAACTACCCCCAAAACCCCACAGAAACTAAGGAACTAAACTGCAGTGAGGAATAAACTCNGTTCAAGCCAACATCTCGGCCGTCTTCTGATGCTCCATTGCTCTGGCTATTGGCAAGGTACTGGACATACGACTACTAGAAGAATAGGATGTATGTGACCTCACTGACCTCGTAACGCCTCTGTCTACCACACTGGTGTGATACACTAACCACTGATCCATCGTGGTCTTAAAGTCCTGAAGATTGCTGAGTTCAGGGTGTAGCTCAGCATGCACTGTAGGCTTCTGCTCGTCTGTGACTAGCGACAAATATTCACCATGGTGAATCAAATATGTTTCATATTCCTGAAGCCATCTTGAGAGCTCAACTCTGACTTTCTCGACATCTGGTGGAAGAGACAACAGCAAGGGCTGGATGCTGTCCTTCATTCTGAAAAGAGCCTGGGCACTTTCTCTCCGTCTCTCCATTGCTGACTTCACCTTGGCCCGTGTAGCCATGACTGTGGCCTTTGCTTCCTCGCCATTGAAGCTCTCCATCTTATGCTCGAATTCTCCACAATTGATATTGAAACTGACTCCGGGTTTCTCCGTCAGTGTTGACTGTAACATCAGTTAGAGCAAAACACTTGGTTTATTTCACTCTCCTTTTGTACTGACATACAGCTGCTCTTTAATACCAATATACAGCTGCCTGTTGTCATGTCAACTATAATTAAAAAACACACAAACAGTGTTTAGTTATTACATGATAAACAACTTCACTTGTAATAATACAACAAACCCTAGAATACTACCCCCAAAACCCAGCAGAAACTAAGGAAATAAACAGCAGTGAGGAATAAACCCGCCACAAGAGGGCGCTGTTGCATAAAAAATGGCGAGCGTGATGGTCTGACCTAAAGCACTGCAACGATATTAGAAATAATATGTGTCACATGTGCAGTAAAAGGACCCTATTTAACCCCCGTAGATTAATATTAAAACCTTCCATAATAGAATCATTCTGACAATTAAAGACAAATGAAAAGACCTTACCGCTGGTGCAGGATCCAGGGTCCTACAACTAGACAAAATGAGTGATTTGTTGCCCAACGTATGGTGTGAAAACTTATACAGAAACTTATCTGATCCCTTCTACTCGTACTCGCGTTGCATGAAGCACGCCCTCTGTAGAGTACTTGAAGAGAGCCTTATTAAACCGTAACACTGTTTGTTAAATTTGGTGACAACTAAACATCAACTGTCCTACATGTGTATAATATCCTGAAACACTCTTGCTTTTTTTCTTGTTCCTGTAGGCAAAAAACAGCAGCAAGGCCGAAGATGTTACTGTCTGAAGTGTGTTATTTGCCGCGGCTTCCTTTGACAAACCTAGGCAGCACAAACCAGATGCTACAAACGCTCAAAGATTAGATTTGCAGAAAAAAGTGTACAGATTATCTTCCAATGGTAAACATGGTTTAAGGCTTTTTGCCTTGTTTGGAACAGATTCAAGCTTTTTGGATCAGGGAATATAAGTAGATGATTTTCAGTTAAACGTAACACAACTTCTTTTTACATAACAAACCCATATTTTAAGAACTGCTTTTCAGGGTGTATTTTTGTGTATAGAGAAAGACATCATGCATGTTTTAAGTTACTTTGTCATATCCGAGTAAATAAAAATTAATTACAAAGCATTAGACAAATGGTTCACTTAAGTGGAAACATTTCAAAATGTCTGTCATATGTACTGTTCATAATTGCACAAGGTAATCACTATCATCTCTTTAATTAACATGTGAAATAGGACTCAGAAATTCTTGAGAAACCTGGAGAAATTAACTGATGTACCATTTTCCTGCATTTTCGAGATTTAATGCATAATTTTCGTTAAATTGTAGGAACTTCTTGTTGGAAAAAAAACAGGTACCTGTAATGGCTATCATGTTCCTAGAAAGTATATAGCAAGATAGACTTTGAGGCTTACTACCAAACTTTCTTATATGTGCCCAAAAAAGTTAAAAATTTAGATGCCCTGAAATTTCAGTCTTTGCAGAATCTCAATTTCAGATTTTCCACAAACAGTTGAGTTTTTTGTGACAAACATAATTTACATAGGTAGAAATGGATATTTAAATATAGAAAGGCTTGGAAATATATTGTGGAGTATATATACTGAAGTATATGCAAGGTCTGAATAATTTGTCTATTCTCTGTCTTGCATATTCAAATAGCTGCTTTTGTTATTTAAATTCATGCAGATAAGCTGTGCCCTCTGACCTTTTTTGAAATTGCGCAATCCTAACCTTTAAATATAAGTTCCGAAATTATTTTCTTGAAGAGGCCTGTGGCCTGGTGGTCAGTGAGCTGGCTGTCAGGCCAGGGGACCCCGGTTCAAATCCCGGGGTCCCCAGGAAAAGAAGGTTTTTTTTTTTTTTTTTTTTTTTTTACTAAGTTTTTTAGCAAAATTGTGCATGCCCACCTGGAATTGAACCCAGGTCCTTGTGCATTGCAGTTAGTGTCCTTAACCGCTATGCCACGGCACTTACTTGAATAAATGTGCTCGTTTCTAAATGTTAAACCTTCCATTGTTTGGACTTAGAATATTTTTCAGCTACACTCTGTGCTGGAGACAGGCAAGGGTGGAAGTCCTAGGGCCTAGAAGTCTGAGAGTTGACAGGAAGGGTAGAGTGGATGGCTTGGTAGATGAGGGCTTGGGACTATCAGTATTAGAGCTCCAAGGACCTCATGGGGTTGATCAAGGACATAGCTTCTTAACATTCCATGTTGCCACTGGGCATATTGTAGCTGTTGTAGGATTGAGACTTAAAGGCTCTGAGAGGGAACTTTATATAAGGAGCTTGGAAGATGTTTAAGACTGGCAGGGCTTAGGATGGGGCTGCAATGTAAAATACAAAGATGGGAAACATGTAATTCTTGCAGTGTAAAATGGTCGAGATTGGGAAAGGGCTAAGAGTCAAAGTACTACATTTCACAAACATTATACAAACAGAAGTTGTTCGACTAGTTTAAATAAATGAACATTTATTTCACTTGCAAATAGAAATTTACTAGTCATAGCAATAAATGGTGATTTTTTCACATGCACCTAAAGGCAGTTTGCAAGGCTATATTTTCAAACAAATCAAATTTTGTGTCAGTGCTGAAAGGTCCTTATTGAAAAACCTAAACATCAATTTGAGAATGAAAATTACTTGAAATTTATATATGTTGGCTGTAAAAAACCTACTTTTATGACTAGAAGTTTAAAAAATGTTTGTTTCAATAATTTCAAAATTAGGCTTTATTTTCAAAAATTATATTTCTTCAGAAATGACCTAATGACCTAGCTCTGAGCCAACAATTTGTCACTTTCCATTTTGTGACACATGTAATTTTAAGTTTAATAATGACTTGGAAAAGATATAATGCTGATAGAATTTTGTACAAGGAAATACTTGTTGAAGTGAGGTCTAGAATGGCCACTAGGTTGGCTGAACAGGGCAGATATTCTGGCTGCCTCAATGGGAAACAAAGATGTGAATTACATAATTTACCATTCAATTTTTAAAAGCATGCAAGAGTAACAAACTTTCATGCAAGTTCTATCTATCAAGTGTCTACAGTCTTTCCAAATGGTTATAACTTCTCATACAAATACTGGAATTTTTGGAGTAGAGCTTTTTGAAAACCTACGAACACATGAATGTTTTAATGTGCGTAAATATGCTTGTAGATGCGTTAAAGATATAAGCTAATTTGTGAACAGTAGTTTTTGTTTTAATGGAAACTGATCGACTGTGTCTGACTGTTCTGAATGTACAAAAGTACCTCTTAAGTCATGAATACAGTGCAATGTCACTATGCTGAACATTGGGCACATGGAACATGCCCCTTGGCTCCCAGATTTTCCATGCATTTTTTTGGAACATTGAAAATTTCTTTACAATTAAAGAAACAAATGTAGGACTGATGATAATAACTCAAAAGCTAAGATTTCAACATTGAAAATTCAGAGCTACCATTTACAACACAGCAAAGAGTGCTCTCTTGCAAGGAATTTTTTTCTCCCTTTTTCACACAAATTGGAATGGTTCAATTTTTAGCCCTGCCAAATATCACCCACTAAAATAGGAATAGATGTGAGGTATGCTACGCCAAGCACTGTGTATAGACCCTGCCCTGTTCATTACAGCAGCATTGTACTGCATACCAACATACACTACTCAAAAAAATTAAAACTGTACTGCATACCAACATACACTACTCAAAAAAATTAAAGGACCAGACATTTGTCTTGGAAGGTTTCAGCCAGGTGTTTACTTAATTGATACATACACTTGCGTTTCAGAGTCCACTGAGTCCTGAGCAAAACCAAGACAGGGTGCATTTTTCTCAGCAACGGAGGGTTGTTTGGTCAGAAATGAACTTTGCTGGTCACAAACAACTAGGAAATGTATCAGTCGTCATTTTTGTAAATAATAAAAATGTGATATACATTCGTATCTGGTACAGATGTATGCATTACTTTTCTAAAAAAGGTCTGAACAGTTAATTTTTTCATGTTGCGATGCATATCATATGGAAGTGCTTCATTTCTCAGCTGTAATAATTTCAGAATAAAAAATAGCGCCCTCACATTATCAGGATCAGTGTTGTAGTCAAGACCAGACTCATGACAAGTGTTGCGTCCAGAATATCTTCTTCATCGTGGTGTTGTTTTGGTTTCAGCGAGTGGAGCGACTCATGTATTGTTATTTTTGTCAAATGAGGGCGCTGCTTTAGCGCTCATATCCTGTCCATACTGCCATTTATGACACACTGAACAGAGAATTTCCTAGACAAATCACCATAATTTTGCCATTATTTTGTGTAAATTTGGACAGCTCAGCAAAAAGAGTAGCGATCTTTAGTTCCGGATGGATAATTTCTATACTAAGTTTGTAACCGATGAAAGCCATAAATGGGGAGTTTTGTCAAAAAATTTTCCTAACAAATGGGGGCGCTCTGCGTGAAGCATATGTAGGTCTTGCATACCGCCCTGTTTTTGGAGAAGTTTGTTATTTTCTTATATTCTAAGAGACTTCCCGGCAAGGTACATGAGTATTTAGGGTTTAGATACAATACAAGTGATTGTGCTGTACATGTACACGTTATAGGCAAGGACAGACATGTCTATAATTTGATATATTATTTAGTAATTTTTGTTTTGTATTTAAATTATAGTTGAACCACCACCACCAAGTTCAAGTTACCAAGTTCTAGCTACTACACCACAATGTTGCCACACCATCTTAGCGTCACCACCTCTGTTGTTAACCACCTCGCCACCGCCAGTCACTTCTGTATTTTGCCAAGCCATAATTTGCCATACCAGAGTATTCTTTGCCATTGAACTGCCATAAATTACCCACCCAAATTGTGTCACAGGATTGAAACTTCATTTGAGTTGCTACTATCAGTCATTAAAGTAACACTGGTTTAGTTTACATCATTTTGACATAGGAATGATTTTGTTGCAGTTTATTTGAATAGCTTGTGACTTGAATTCAGACTGGAGGTCTTGTGTTGATCTTGTGAGTGCTTAAGTGGTCTTGATTACAACACTGATCAGAATATCATTCTAACAACTCATGTTCTCCCCAAACTCCACTGTCATCCTTTTTAGGGCTGTATAGGAGACTTAGACAAGGTGCTGACCAAAGTGTTTTTCAGTGTCATGGGACTATAGCACTCTGTAGAAAAAGTTTGCATTGGACTGGAACCAATAAAGTTTTTGTTTTGTTGCCAAAACATAACCACACTAATTGACACTCAAATGTTACAATCTGAATCTTTTTTTTTAAATTCTGATCTTTGATCCTTTTGAGTAGTGCATAAATGCAGACAGACTTGCTCCATCATGTACTAAAGTGGAAGCAAAGAACTGCATCTCTGAGAAGACCGAGTCCTTCCTTGCCTTTGTGAATCAATGCCTTTGATTCTGATAAGGATCCCTCATGCAGTCTTGGGAACTTTCCTCCTCAGTGATGGAGGTGAGGACTGGCATCTATCTGAGTTACTTCCTCTTCTTGACGTGCTTGTTGGATCATCTCTGGGAAGTCCTATGGGATCTTGTCTTCCATCTTGCTTCTCTCCTCATTGAAGGAGGTGAGGGCGCTCTTCTAATTGGCATTGTAGCTATGGTTCTAACACACAGCTTCCATGTCAACAATGTCTGGGATGAAATTAAACACAGAAGAATGAGTTACAGCAAAGTACTGAGACAATTCTGATAAACATTTAAGAATCTTTGGACAGTCCCTAAGTTTACACCATATTTCATACAAAACAGTCTACGTTGTAATTAGATTTGACACTGAGGCTGAGTTCGGGTGGTTTGCACTCATATGTTCACTAACAGCTTGATTTGTTGATCATGGGTTGGCCACTCGAACGCCAGGAACATACAACTGATTATCGCTGGTAGTTAGTAGCGAGCAACATGGAAGCGTCCATGTACGTTCTGCGATGGTTCATGTTTGGATAACTGTCCTGAATGTTTATAAAAAGAAATATTCCTTTCTGAGTTGGAATTTAGTCAATTATTTGATTTAAATTTCTTAATTCAAATCCAAATTTAGTTAATTTTGTAGCAAAAGAGATGAATGAACGAAATTTAATACACATTCAGCTAAAACGGTTGTTTTTGAAAAGATAATTAGCCAACTTGTCTCCAATTTTCATTTCAATAAAAATCTGATTTAAATTTTAAAAAAACTTCAGAGACAGGTACGGTACATGCACCAAGGATAAAGTGTTTACCAGGTTTCAAACTGAACTCTAAGTTTGGACAAAACTAAAGCTCACAAGGATTTGTTAACAGGGTAGTTGTATGTGTATCAAATAACTTGTGAGTGAAAAACATGTCATCAACCACGTGTACATGGGTCGCGATATGATACATATCATGATACTATCGTAAAAAACAAAGAAACCAATAAGACAAAGCCAATTTAAAACAATTCACTAGGTAACCTACCAATAGTAACTTACCAATGGTACAGTAACTTGCCAATGGTAACTTAGCAGTGGTTACTTGCCAATGGTAACTTACATGTACCAATGGTAACTTGCCAATGGTAACTTTAGCAATGGTAACTTACCAATGGTAACTTACCAATGGTAACCTACCAATGGCAACTTACCAATGGCAACTTACCAATGGTAACCTGCCAATGGTAACTTGCCAATGGTAACTTACCAATGGTAACTTACCAATGGTAAGCTTATAGGTGATGAGGACAAGAAGCTTCTGCAAGGTGAGACACAACATTAAACAAAAAACTGCATTTATTTCTCTAAGTGTTCTGGTTTATTAATTTTGGGCCAAACAAAATAATAGCTATGCTGCCTATTACATTGAAAAAATATTAGATTGGGGGAGTGGGTAGTATCTTTTTTTTTCCTCTAAAGTTTTTGGGTCAAACATTTGAAGGTGGAGAATCTTTTTTTTTTAATTAAAAAGTGATTTTAATTTCATTCACTCGTGTGCATTACGGAGCTGTAGTACTTTCAGTGTCCGAACCAAAGATCGTAGTGCACCGCCACCACGTAGGAAAAAAACGACACTTATGCAAGGAAGAAAAGAAAACCTGTCTAAACCAGATAAAATGGTGTACTGAAACGATAAAGTCTGATACGCATTCAATATCCTCATGACACTGAGATCGGTGTGAAGGTTGGTGGCACGACACATGCCCAACCATCACTTTTGCGTTCTATTGCTAGGTTGGCCTACGTCATGTATGTGCGGCGATTTGTCCGTGATGCTAAACCCATCCAAACTATTTCATGTAAGAGAAATAAGTACAGGTGATATTGAAAATATAAAGCTATATACATGTATTTCAAATTTTTATTAGGCCTAAATTTATTTTCAACTAACTGCACATTTTATCATAATTCCTCCCTTCCCCAAAATATCATGATTCACAATTTTTGTATCGCGATGCCTCATTGTGGCATTTTAGAATCATGATTAATGATGCATTGCTGAATTGTTACAGCCCTACATGTATGTGTATGTACATATACACATGTTGGTTCAAAACACTGGTACATGTACGTTGCTCTAATATGCACCAAAAATACTCTCATTTTCATTGTGATCCAGCTCCTTTTTGATAAATTGCACAATAACTTACGCTTGATTAAAAATCACGTTAAGATTAAGTTATTTCTGGTTTCAATTTCACTGCATAATAACCAAACATTTCTAATCTCGATAAAATACATGTGTACATGCAGAAACAAAACGTTGATGTACACTGGTATTTCATTTTGTCAAACTCTGCAGTGGGCAATTTAAATGAAGTGAAATTCAATCACGATTATAAATCCTTCGGGTCAAATTCATTCACTGAATCCAAAAAGCTGATTTGAATTGAACCAAGTGGATTGAATTGAAAAAAAATCTTGTCAACCCAGACTGTGTGTAGCATGTGTGCATTCACACTTTTTTATCATTACTGGGAACTGAAGGCTCACAGAGGGAGGGATTAGTTGTTATTGGTTGTTTAAAATATGCAAAACCTGCATAAAGAAATCAATCAGTTGAAAAAAATTTAAAAATCCAAACATTTTTGCCCTTTTTCAAAAGAAAAATCAAATGTTGATTTAAATCAGTGATTTAAAAAAATCATTTGATTTAAATCACGATTAAAATCGGTGATTGAATTCAGCCAACCCTGCATGGAGGTGGTGTATGATACTGTTCTGAGAACAGTATTCTCAGGTTGTGTCCTGCCATTCGAGTGCGAGAACAAGAACAGGCCGCCCATTAAGCGTAGGCCACCTGAACTTGACCTAAGTTCCTCTAAGTCTATCTTTTTTTCAACCATTGCTAGTCAAAAAAAGAACTATAAAGAAGAAACTGTTCTTCATGATATGAATTCTGACGGACTAAACTAACACTGCACATAGCAAACTTGAAAATTTCAACATTCCATTGGAGTGAAGTGAATTAAAAAGCAACATCATGCCTTTCTGGACAACTGAGGGCGCTGTAATCTCAATCTTTGGCAATTAATTATACCAACAAGGAAGATGCTTCTTTTATGAGTTTTTCTATCAAAACTGTGAAACCCAAATTTACTCCTTGAACGTCGCAGGACAAGTTGACCATTGATCTTTGGTAATTTGCAATGAAACAGCAAGGAAAAGGAAACTTAGGCCAGGAAATGAGAACAATTCTAGTATGGTTGGTGCATTCAACTAGCTTGCCCTGGTTACAAAGGTTTAATTTTTATCTTGTCCCTACGCTCGTCACCCAGTGCCTGAATAGGGTGCAGGGAAGGGTTCACATCCTTGCACAGAGTCTAGTGAAGGAAATATGTCACGCGGGGTCACAGCTAATGATGTGCAGAGCATTTTGGGTAGATTTCTGCCAGGTGCATGAGCTCAAACAATGCGTTGAAATGCAAGGGTCAGTTCAATCTTTTTTTCTTTTCTTCCTCATTGCTGAAAATATTTTCACTACACTTTATTCGTTCATCCAAAATTGATCAAGATAACCAACAATTTGAAAAATATTGCCAAAAGACACGTGATCAGTGATACTTTAATACCACACTGTGATTGTACCTAGGCCTTGTTTTTATCATATAGCCGACACTTTTGACCGAACCAAAAACTTTAACACTTCAATAACAGGAAGTGATAGCCTCGTGGTCACAGGTTATGCACAATGTAGCTGATCACAGTGCAAAGCCATCGGCCCTTCCCGGCACCCTGTTTGGGTGCTGGGTGATGAGTGAATCTCGTCCCCACCGTCTTGCTTGACAAGGCATACACAGTCATCCCAAGGTCAGGGTTGCTAACCGTAAGAACTCAATTTTTTTTGCTAACCAAAAGCCAAGGGGATCCAGGACCAAAACTTCAGAGTGAGGAGTGGATTTGTTTTGCTTCTGAATTTTTTTTAAGGGTTTGGCAACATATTGGGTTATTTATACACAGTTCGAAAGGGAAACCTCATTACCTCTTGGCTGCCTTTTGGGGGGGGGGATGGCCCCCTTTCCCAGATACACCCTTGCTGAAAGAAATCACATGTAACACATGACTCTTACCTGTGCTACTTTTGACATAATGTCATATGTCTGTAGCTATGGGGATTTCATCGCTGGTCCTTCAATTCGCATCATGATGCAGGATATGTCAGCCGGTCTCAATGTAGGCAGCCATTGCACCACCTTCAACAGGAGGCAAGGTCTTCCCAAATCTAAGCAGGGAAAAGTGACAAAAAATAACAGGAAAAGGTTACTTTTGAGGTTTTTCAATCACAGGGTAGAAGGTATGCTTTGTTAAATGAGCAAAACATCCAGATTTCAGTCAGTTAGCATCTGTACTGTTAAGATAATTTTGGTCGCTGTTAAATCCATAAAAACCATACAGTGCTTGGCAGTGCAGGGAGTAAAAGAGGTGGCAGCAAGTCATTATTTGCAAGTCCAAATCAAGTCACAAGTCTTTATATGCAAGTCCAAGTCAAGTCACAAGCCATTATATGCAAGTCCAAGTCACAAGTCAAGTCTTTTGGTCACAGGGCAAGTCAAGTCTCTTTGTCCAAGTACAAGTCAAGCTGCACATTATTTTATCCAGCTGTAATAAGCAAAAGAACCAAGCATCAACTTATGAAGTTACTATGAGCTCATGTATGTTAATGCCCCTCACTAAGTTGGTGCGCATGTGCAGTGAATCCCACAACAGCACAAGAGGCCAGTAAATAGCTCTTGACATCAATCAACATCAAGCTCGAATAGAGTTGTTTGCTCCTCATTTCCATACCGATTAGAGTTTAAACACTCAAAGTTCCTTTTGCTAACTTGCACACTATAAAAATCCATTTTCTGCCCAATTTTTGCCCATCTTTGTCATGTACCTCAAAAGTAATAATAATTTAATAATAATTTATTCATTTATAAAGCGCAAATTTCATATAGATATGTTCAAATGCGCAGTACAATGAAGACATTAAGCGTGGAACAATGAATACATTTTAAACATGGTTGAGCCGATGGAATACAAGGGCGCCTCAGGCAGCCGCCAAACGACCCACATTCACCAACATCATCAGTAAAGTGGAGACAGTAAGAAGCAGTTACAGTTTTAGAGGTGGGTGGAAACCCCAGAGGAATATTCTGGGTAAAACCCACAGAGTCAGGTAGGGACTGAAAACCCAATCCACATGTGGACCGGGCTGGGAATCGAACCCGGGGACCACAGAGGTAGAAGGTGAGGAAAGAACTACATGTGCCTTGCCAAGCTGACCTGCAAGTAACAGAGTCAGAAGTTGGAAGTGAAGCCAACATTTAAGAGGGGATTTTTCAGTTTTTGTTTGGGTCTTTTAGTCGGGCAATTTGACGTCGTGGTACGTATTGTTGCATTGCAGTAAAAGTCAACTCGTACCCAAATGCACTCGTATCCAGGAGTAGGACATGTACGTATGCACTATGCCCAAAATCATCTCATTTTTGACTGCTACAAAACTCATAGTGGAAATTTGAATCCACACGAAAAACAAACCGCATTTCAGACAAATGGCTCTCGATCTTGAAGAAAATGAGCTGATAGATACAAAAAATTTATCAGTCTTCCAGACAGTATCAACAATGATCTGAGAGGAATTCAACAAAAGTGTGAAACTTGGGCACTAAGTAAGGTGAAAAACACAGAAAATGACAAAAATGGGTTCCAATGAAAAACGAAGTCAATTACAAAAACGGTTTTCTTCCCAGAAGTAATAATCTTTTTGTACATAAGCGTTACTAGTCTTTGATGTGGCATCAAAGTTATTTTAAGGTAAACTCGGCAAAATTTTGAAAATTAGACACAAAGCTAGGTAAAAAACAATAATTTTTCATAATTATACTTTGTCGTAAAATTGACATTTTCTACATTCTGTGATTATTTTCCAGCGATCTTTCTTACCAGAATCTGTTAAGCATTACCATTTGATAGACTCTTGGCAATTTATTCACACATGAGGTCTTCAAGGGAAATAGCAGTACAAATCCCTCACATGGGTCACCACTGATATGTGTTGTCTCATGTCTGCTAGAATAATTTTTCAGGCCAAGGACCATTATGTCACTATTGCGCAAATGCGAATACACAAACTAAATACATACGCAGTATATGGGGATCGAACATATGTGAGTTTCGGACAGCTAAACACCTTTTCTCCAATTATTTTGACAATGCCTCCATATAATTCCCATTCCTCACTTGTTGTAATTACTATTCTTGCAGTTTATCACATTTCTGTCGTATATTGGACCTCTGTTTAATTTAATAAATGTACTTTGAAGGGTGGAAATAAGTGGTGAGATGAAATGATGACATATTGAGGGCGCTGTTTATCCTGGTCACGCGTCAACGCAATGCAGCAGCATGGTATGCATGCTGCCCTGATTTCTACAGCTGCAGCTGAGTGAAACAGAAGCTGATGCGCAAGTCGAAGTCCATTTTTTATGCACGTGAGGTTGGTAACAAGTCATTTTTTGCAAGTCCAAGTCAAGTCACAGGTCAAAGCCGGTATTTACAAGTCAAGTCACACGTCATAAAAATAGCGACCTGAGTCTGACTCGAGTCAGCAACTCTGGGGTGCAACAGGCTGGGTGAGGTCTGATTGGCACAAGATGGGTTCCCACAGAAATCGGTAAACCAAATTCAGTAACTTTTTCAGGACTTTCCAGGTCTAGAATACGACAATTTCTATGACATTCCATGTTATTTTGCAGAGAAAAGTTGTTTGGTAGTATGAACGACTACCATAGCCATTAATACGGACTGACAAGGGTAGCCATTACTACGAACTGACAAGGGTAGCCATTACTACGGACTGACAAGGATAGCCATTACTACGGACTGACAAGGATAGCCATTACTATGGACTGACAAGGATAGCCATTACTACGGACTGACAAGGATAGCCATTACTACGGACTGACAAGGATAGCCATTACTGCGGACTGACAAGGATAGCCAGTAAATTTATCATTATTCCACAAACCCATCAAAATTAACCCAACGTTGCATGTTCCTGATTTCCAGGACTTATTTCAGGACTTTACAGGCCAACTGTTTTCCAGGATTGCCCACGTGCAAGAATAAATGTACACGAACAAATGGGTTCAGCAAATCTACATGAGCACAAAATCATGTTTAGTACAATTCTGCTGGGAAAGAGCAAGCTTACTGTATCAAGGTAGTGATGTCAGAAGATGAACTCACACGCAGGGGACCAACCAGGCTGCTATTGCCTTACTCTATCAGGGCAGTGGTGCAAGAAGATGATTCCACAGGCAAGGGACCTGAGGATGTTAGAAGATAAGCTCACAGGCAGAGGACAAGCCATGCTGCTATCGCCTTACTCTCTCAGGGCAGTGATGCCAGAAGATGAGCCCACAGGCAGGGGACCAACCACACTGCTAACGCCTTACTCTATCAGGTGATGCCAGATCTGGTACATGTACCTGGTAAAGATAAAAAAAAGGTCATTATTATCTGTCTGCATTGGCAAACATGTTCTGGGGAACTATATTTACCTCTAGAAAATGCCAATGTCCAAAACGTATGGCTGCGGCTAAAAGTAAGGCAATAACTATAGAGCCACAAGCAAGTGGCTGCTGTCATTTCCCATAGACTTTTGAACTACTATCAGCCTTAGCCAGTTGGTTTGGTGTATCTTAAGCCGGTAACCAAGTGTACAAAGATGGTACCCAGTGACTTCTGTTTTGTACAAATAGTGAAATCTGTGAATATGTGAGGGGGGTATTTCTTGAAGAACCTCTCACAGATCAATTCCATCTTAAAGGAGCCAGGGTGGGGACCCTTAACATTTACACGTATTCTGATATCACAACAGTAATTCTTGTGGCCATTCTGACACCATGTTTGCACTAAACTATGGAATGTCTTTACATGCATATTGGATTTTTAAAAAATCTGGCATGGGACCACCAAGTTCTTGGGAAGGGGGGAAGGAAAGCCCACCTTGGACAGGAACTGGACAGTCCAGTTCTTAAGGGCATTACCATCCCCCTTCCCTTGGCTTAACCCTAACTCCCTAGGGTGTGTGCAAAATCATATTAAAATTGGAGGATTCAGGGCTGTTAGGGTTAAAGATGGTCCAAAATAGCCCAGCTCTAATAGGGTTACAACATTAGGAAGTGCAAGGGCCCAACGTATCGGCAAAAATTTGATTTCTAAAATACGTGACAGAAAGTGACAGCTTGTCTACCTGCTGTTGTCTCCATCCACTGTTCTTGTTCCTCATTACTGTCAGAGTCGCCATTACCACAGTCCTCATTGGAACTTGATTCTCTCTCGCGCTTGCTTCTTTAGAACAAAAATGGGATAAACAAACCAAATGTCACCACTGACTCTGAGAGTTGACTTCAGCAATGAGAACAGACAAGTGACTTTATTAAAGAAATAAAACCAAATACAAAAGAAGGGAAAGACTTCCATTTCCTTCATTTTTCGTCGTTTTTTCCGTTGTTTGGATTTGTAAACTTCTTCCTTATCTCTGAAAAGAGATAAACGACCCACAATGTTATTCCTCAGTGGACAACCACATTGAGGAGTACAGCTGACATTGCACTGCTCAGGAAACAGTTGTCAGAATGCGTCTGCCAACACTGCATTGTGAATAGTCGGCTGGCTCGGCGCATGGCCAGTGCATCGACCACCTTTGGTCGTGACGTACATGTACTCTTCAGATACACTAGCATACAAAGATATGTAATACAAAACTGCTGCAAACTGCTTGCTGACTACAATGACCTAAAATACAAATCTCAAAATATGGAGGGCCTTACGTTTCAATCCTAGCAGAATCTTTCCAAAAGGCAAAATGACAAGTGGAAAGGACAAGCAAACAGAGAATCAACCAAGCATGGATGAATGCAAGAGGACAAAAAGAAAGGTCAAGAAAGCTGCAGGCTGGATAAAGGGGCAAAGGATAAAGGGGAGTGCGTGAAAGGCATGGTTGAACAACAAAGGAATGTAACATGGGAAGAGATTAAAGAAAAAATACAATGGATGGAACTGGACCCCAAGTGGGACAGGGATATAATCTGCAGACAAAAGAAAGAACGAAAAGAGTGTTAATTAATAGTTTCCCTCTTGGATGTTCAGGCCATGGGGTTGTATGGTGCAGAGGCGTTTGATCCAAAGCTTCTCCCTGTTGAAGCGAACAGCATCTTTACGGAACCCAAGTGATTCTATGCCCTGTAAGATCATGTTTGAAATAGAATGGTTAGGAAGGTTGAAGTGGTGGCCTACTGGGGTATATCTAGTTGTTTGGTGTTGACCGTAGATCTGTGGCCATAGAAACGCTTCTTGAGAGTATCCTTAGTCTCTCCAACATACTGAACACTGCACACCCAGCAAGAGATAAGATATATGACATTAGAAGAGCTACAAGTGACAGTGCCTTTAGTTCAGTGGGTGGTAGGGGAGGAGTGTCCAGAGAATTATGGGTGCACCACTACAAATAAATTCCCATAGACT